TATATATATATATATATATATATATATATTTATATATATATTGTAAACTGAGGTGACAAATGACTTTATGGGGTGTTACTTGAAACGCCCAACCAAACTTAAAACACTCATCTATAAACAACCACAAAACTAAACACATAAGTTATGGGGTGTTCTAAACAAACAAGACCTTTTCCCCTTTGATCCATATAGCCAAACTGAGAATTGCAAACCCCATGGATGTAGAAACCAAAGTTACTCTCAAAATCATTTACAAGCTAAAGAGATGCCTCTATTTCATGACAGTAGGAGTTGGATAATAATCACATAATAATAGAATTAGATAGATAGATCGATTGTCTAATAACAACCTACAACACATTACTTCTTTTAGAATCATATTAGCCATGCTGGGGACTTAATTGGGAATCCGGGTCCAGGGATACATTTATGATTTAGTTGTATTGAGGAACGTAACATAGCAGTAGAATTACATTTACTGATGAAATACTGGTAGTATCAGAGTCTTCAGTCCAGAGATTAAACAAAGTAGGCCCAGTAGATATGCTAGTGGGCCTCTACTGCCATATCCACCTTCTCCGTCAGGCTCTTGATATACTCCTTCCTAGCCGGATGATCCTCCTGTGGTCGGTTGTACGCCGTCCACACTGGTTCTCCCACGAACAACCTCATCAACTGTGCAAAAAGTGCAAACCCATCCCATCTGATTAATAAAACTGAACCAACCAATGGTTGTAATAAATTTTGTTCTAGTAGTTTAAACCTACCTTAACGTAGTTACAGGTGTCAAGGGTGAAGCGATGGTAGATGCCAGCAGGCAAAACGATCATATCACCCTCCTTGATCCAGATGCGAATCCAACGGTCGTCCTTGTCCCTCACATCGAAGTACCCACTGCCTTCCAAACAGTAACGTATCTCCTCGTCGGCGTGGATGTGCTCTGTGTAGAAGTTCTTCAGCTTCTCCTCGTAGTTGGGCATTTTCTCTGGGCATAAATCCAGAAGGTCCATGTAGTTATAACCCCTGCTTTTTCTAATCTTCTTCAATTCCTCATCGTTCTCGTAATCTTTTGGGTTCAAATGCCAGTATAACACTCCCACCTCTGCAATCGTTCCAAAGAAAAATTAGAGCTAGAGAGAGCCTAGAGGGGGGAAAAACATCCATCAAACAGAGAATCATTCATATATTCAGATGAAGGAGACCCTAGAAAGAAAGAACAAAACTATACCTGCAAGCTTGCTTAAGGAGACCAACTCTTTTGGGTTTCGATGATGAGGGAGTCTTTGATCCTCGTCGTTCTCCTCCATGTACCATGCCTAAAGAAATCATCAATGATCAATCACAATCTGGATTCTCACGTTGATTTCGTTCCCGAATTCTTAATAATACACAAATTTGTAAAGACGAGAGATGGTGTATTGGAATCAATACGAGTTCGAAATATAAGAACGGCACTCACCTCGATTGCCATCGTCTTTTCGACTAGTGTCGGGTCGACTGAAGTCTCGGAACACTGAACTTGGGGCTGGGTGTGGTCACTGGTCAGTGGTCGATCCAGAGCAGAAAGTACCAACCAGGGAGGGTTTATGCAAAGCCAGATAAGAATTGAAGAATCGGATCTCGAATATTCAATGCTAGCTTATTCAACCACGTGGACGGTGAGATTGTTTGCTGCTGATTTGTGGCGTGTATGTGTTACAGCAGCATGTCAAATATCATGTTTGTCTACATCTATGATTTTGTTTGGTTCAGGTTCGATTATGATACCGAAAAGAAATTATGTCCGAAAAAAATTTAGGGAGAAGTACAAATCAGCCCAGTTCAGAATTTACTACGCCCGAAGTAGAGGGGAATGCATCCTGACCGTGAATTGATGCCAAATTCACGGGCAGGATGTGGTTTATTGGGGGGACAGGGCTAGTTGTAGGGGGGTTGGAATTCAGAATTTTGCATCGTGTCTCCGTACTTTTCCCAAAAATTTATGGCCAATCAACCGATACCATAAAAGTGTTAATCAAGGAGAATGGATCACAATTTTTAGGTTGAAAGTACATTTGGATAGGTGTCAATTTGGAATTGATGTCAATTTAGGGGCGGGTATGGGTGTATAAAGTGTAGGTTTTTGAGTTTTTGAATGTTTATACTTTGCGGTGAAAATCAAAAGTCTGCATTGGGCCTATTCGTACTTTTCTGAATTTATTAAGGCCCAGTTTGGAAGGAGTATAAATACAAATATATAGAGTGCAAAACCTTATATTTTGTATGTATTTATAGTGTACATATTTGTATTTGTACTCTTCCAAACTGAGTGTAAACTTCACAGACGAACTTTGATCAAAGCTTTCCATTCTGGTACAATGTCTTTCCGATGTTATATATTTCTAGCTCCTTATCCATATATATTTTTTTTTATTTGCTTCCATTGGCATTTATTCGATGGGGTTTTCCGAGAAAATGCCTACATCAGATTTTTACGGGTGTTGCCGGTATAATATGAGTACGGGATTGCAAAGATGTGCAAAAAATGGCCAGAGAATCAAACATTCCCGAGTTCACATCTCCGCCCCACAATGCCCCACAGCACATCCCCACCTTGTATTGGGAACATCTCTCGATTATGACATCATCGGGACTAGTACTATCATCGGGAGATGTTCTCAATACAGGACGAGGATGTGTTGTGGGGCATTGTGGGGTGGAGATGTGATGTCAACATTCCTTATATGATTTCATTTACACTAGCGGGGATTCATACATCTTGTTAAAATAATTTGAAGCAAAAGGAGCTAAGGGTGAAAGTTGGGTGGATCCAATCCAACCCCAATCCTATTCAATCAAAACTTTTGCATAGGTTGGGCTTGGGCCAAAAAGCTTAGGCCTAACTAAACTTGGATAGGCTTAGGTTGAGGCCTTGGGTACAGATCCGATGCAATCTAAGCCTGCCCAACATTTTATGTTATACATATCTATATATTATCAATCTATTTTACATGGAAATTGAGCTACAAAGATAAATATGCCCAAGTCCAAGCCTAGCCAAGTTGGGATGGTAGCTGAGTAGGTTCAAGAAGGGTTTTGTAAATTCTAGACTCTACTTGCCTCCCTAAACATCCCAATCCGTACCCACAACAAAACCCATAGTGGGTTGGATTTTAAGAATTCAAACCCTCCCCACAAATAAAAATGTAAAACCCTCCTCGACCCCACATTCAAGGTTAGGGGTGATAGGGTTTAGAACCCACATCTAATTTCCTATTATTTCTTGTTATATATAACTAATAAATAAGTAAAGTAACATAAATAAACAACAAAGTTTTCAAATATTTGATTAAGATGTAAAAAAAAAAAAGACAAGCTATCAATTATCATTCACATCAAAATCAAAATATTATTAAATTCAACACCTAGTATACAAAAGTTTATATGCTTTTCCAACAATATGTGGGTTGGGGATCAGAGGGTCGGGTTTAGCCTAGTACCATACCCTACTCGTAATGTACGGGTTATAGAATCCCAAAACCCATCCTTCAAGCAAAAACCCACTCCATTGGGGGTGGGTACCTATTGGGTAGGGTAGAAATTGTGCTTAAGTTGGTAAACTTGAGCTTAACCTTAAGTTGGGCCAAACCTAAACTCGAGGTTTGAGACTTAGGATTGGGTTGACCCTTAATTTGACTCAACCCACCCAAGTTGTACCCCAAAAAAGAGGATTATGACATTCTTAATTGTATTAGTTTTTATTTTTTATTACATTGTTTTAACTTTTACTAAATTTTTATTTAGTACTAGTTTTTATTATTTTAAATGGATTAAAGGATTTTAAATTTATATTACTTTTTTAATTTTATAAAAAATGTAGTATCATTATCAAATTATAAGATTTAATTTTGAAACTAAAATTAAACATGTATTAATTTGTATTTACTTTCTTTTTAAATAAAAAAATCTAGTATTAATAAAAATTATTAAAATATTTTTATTAATTCGTATCATTTTTATATATAATTTTATATGGAAGAAACTTAATTAATAAATTATTGCTTTAACCAATGAAAATAAATTATTAAATAACTCTGGTTAAGCGTACACAAAGTTAACTAACTACTAGGGCTGTTCATAAGAAGGCCCAACCCGACCAAACCGACCAACCCGAACCGACCCAACCCGAGTCGACCGGGTTTTCATCAGCACGGGTCGATTTCGGGTTGTGCAAATTCTTAAACCGATGATTCGGGTCGGTTTCGGTTTTCTTGTGTGAAAATCGAAACCGACCCGAACTGAACCGACTTAGTTCCTAGTTCAAACATGAAGTTCCAAAGCCCATTAGGCCACTTAGTTTTTGAGTGGTTGCAAGAAACTTTGGATTAGTGAATAGTGATTAATGAACAACTTTTGTGATTAACTTTTCATTTAAATTTTATCATAGGAGATGGCTGAAATGATGTTCAATTTATGATCGTTTTTAAAATTAGCAAGATTTTATCACAGGGATGAACTTAGAACCGAAACCGACCCAAACCGACCAGGTCGGTTTTGTTTAACACTGGGTCGGTTTCGGTTTTTATGTCAGGTAACCCGACCAAGTCGGGTCAGTTGGAAAAACCACAGTAAACCGACCCAACCCGACCCATGAACAGCCCTACTAACTACTAATTAATTAGTTTTAACTAATTTAAATTAAGCTAGTGAAGTAAATTAATTAAGGTACTCAAGTTAATTTAGTTTAACTAACCTCTCTTTGATCCTATCATGGTACCTAAAAAAACAGAAGATGATGAACAAAAAAAATAAAAAAATAAATAAAAATACTGACCTTCTAATGGCACTAAGAAAAATTAACCCCAAGAACTCCCAAATCTTTTGTAAAACTTTTTCAGAAAACCTTTTAAAAAATTAAAATGAAATATATCCTAACTTGTGCTCCAAAGAACATAAGAATAAGATGACGGACAAAATGCAAATGTAGCATCAGCTATGGCACGTCTTCCCTCCATTGGATTTACCCGGCCACCTTCTGTCAATCAACTGTTGAAAGAGAGCAGGAAAGATAAAGAGAATGAAAGAGTACAAGAGAGTGAAAAGACGTTATGGGAACGAAACAAGATTATTGTAACTGAACATTAGATAAAGTTGTAACTCAATTGTAGAAAGATTTCTTATTGTATCGAGTAGAAGATAAATAGAGAGAATAGACTGTAGAGTTTCAAATGTGGAAAGACTTCCTACTATATTCGGATAGAGAGAGTTTGAAAGGTGGGAAGATTTCCTACTATATAGGGATTGGTTTCCTATTATATTGGGTTGGATTCCTAAAATCATGGTATATATATTATACATCTAATTACTTGGGTCCAAAGAGAAGATTGTTAATTAATTAAGTAAATACCATTAATTAATTACTATTAATTAAATAAATACCATAACGAATAAATATGGTATTTATTTTAAATTTTCTGTAATTATTCTATAATGATTTCAAAATAATAATATTAAATTTCAGTAATTATTTTAAAATAATTATTTTCAGTATTTATTTTAATATTTTGTAATTATTTTAAAATAATTTCAAAATAAATTTTAAGTAATTATTTTAAATTTCAGTAATTTTTAGAGATTTTTAGAATTTTTGTAATTTTAGAAAATTTCAAAAAAATATATTCAACATTCTCTATTAATAAATATGGTATTTATTTTAAAATTTATTAAAAGTTTAAAACTACTGAAAATATTAGTGAATAAAAAACATAATTACTTTCAACTAGGGGTGGCCATGAGCCGAGCCTTTCATGAGCTATTCGAGCTTGGCTTGTGAAAAGCTCGACTTAGCTCGGTTTAAATCGATCTTCGAGCCGAATTCGAGCTCAGTGAAGCTCGGCTTGTGAGGCTCGCAAGCCTAGTATTAAATAAATAATTTTTATTATATATACATACATACATAATAAATATACATACATAAATATATATAATAAATAATTATATATATATATAATAATATTTTTATTAATATAATTTTTGTTTATTTTTTATGTATAATAGTAAATAAATTTTATAATTCTTAATTTTTTGTCTAAAAAATAAAAAAAAATTATTTTATACATATAATTTTTATTTTTCAAAAAAAACTTGGCTTATAGTTGAGTTCAAACTTGCAAACTATGCATCGAGTCGAGCTTGAGCTCGAGCTCGAGCCTGATACTATTCCCGTGAGCTGAGCTCAAATAGCCAAGTATTCGGCTCGGCTCGAATCAAATCCATCCCTGCTTTCAACATAGTAAAATTCGTAATTAAATAAATTAATATTTTTTAATTAAATAATTTACTAAAATTATGGTAAACAAACCTAGCTTTAGAAGTTTGTTTGGGACTAAAGTAATTAGACAAAAATTATTTTAAAAATTATTGAAGAACACAATAACACGGTAAATACCTATTTTGTCCTAAAAAAAATAGGTATGCTGAATGTAATAGCATACCTCTGTAGTAGCAAAACGCCAAAACCGGTGCAATGAACATAACCCTTCTTCCACTGCTACTGTGAGTCTGTGATCACCTAAATCAACTGAATGATTGACAAAGTGACTCACCTGTGGGGGAGGTTTTAACTGGTAGAGGTATTTTGGCAGTGGTTTCCAACTGAACTTCATGAGAATCAAAAGATGATTAAACTGCAAGAGGAGAAGATGGTGGTTTAGAAACACGGTGGGACGGAGCCCCTGTTTTGCTGCCTAGAGGAAGAAAGACGACTCCCCTGTTTTCGCAATAAGTTTTGCTTACTTGTAGAGCACAATGGGCTGGACTTTGTAATGCCACTGGTACACCTTTTAATCCAATTATGGTTGAACCGCAATTGGAGAAGACTATAGGTTAGAAACACAATGGGGCGGAGCTTCGTGGCTTAGAAGGAAAAAAACGAAGAGACAAGTCTTGCCTTACATGCAGGATGGGTTCTCTTGATTGAATAGTTGGCTGAACTGCAGAAAAGAGAAAATGTTGGTGTTTCACTTAGAAGAGAAAGACTGTGAAATGTGTTAGGAGTCCGATTTTGGGTTGAATGAAAATCACGATTTAGAATCGTGGTTGATTCTAACTCTATTAAATCACGAAGCCTTAATTGATATTTTCCATTATTGATTTGCCACAGGGCCTAATGAAGATTTGTGAGCTGATTAATTAGAAGAAGGGTAGAAAACTAAGAGGCATATTGGCTTGTTTTCCTACCCTATCACGTCTCCTTTATGATTTGGAGTCGGGGAATGTAAAGTAGTGGGTCAGGCATGATGACGTGGCTTCGTGAGAGAGGGTGAAGACGTTGATGACATGACTTCATGAATGAACAAGAAAGACTAAAATGAGAGGGATTGAAAGTTCTCCGTGAAGAAAGCTCAAGAATCTCTTAGGGCCGCAAGAAAGGCTAAAATGGTGCCATCTAGAATCTCGGATGATAGAATGCATAGACTAGCATTGCAAGAATTATCCATCATGATTTGAAGTGCACCTTCTCGACTTCTGCAAGCCTCATACATTTGGAATGTATAAAAAAAGTGAAACCTATTAATAGGAATCTCTTAGGGCCGCAATGGTATTGATTCTCTTAATCCATTTATAATTAGACTAAATATGGATATATACCTATCCGATCTGACATAATCTGATTTGATTCGATTAAAATATTAATGGTAAAATATAAAAAGGAAAGTTTCTGACAATCATAAAAATGTCTCCTTTAGTTTCGTTTTAGCAAGTACCTCCTGAAGTTTTAAAAAAACTGACAAAAACCTCCCCCATCAGTGACCCAAACGAAAAACATAAAAAATTACGAAATTACCTCTGATTTATCATCATTCAAAATATATTGAAATGTCAAAAATACCTTCATTCGATCAACAATACTTTCACGATTTTACGAGTGTTCTCCACCGGCAAAGGTCCTTACAAGTGTGTATGTGAAATAGTTGAGTATTTGCTGCAAAAAAATAAAATCTTGGTTAGAATAAAATAGTTTGAGACGAATTAATTTAATGATTGGTTCAAGAATAATAGTGGTTCAATATATATTTCTCTGAAACCTCCCCAGCTTCAGCCACCATAGAACTAATAACAAGTACACAGACAGCTACAAATGCAGTGAACATGGTCCTGATACACTCTTCTTCTCGCTCTAATCCTCCTGCGACTCCACCATCGCCTTTGGCTGGGTATACGTGTAGTCCATCATCTCCACCACCACCATATCCTGAACCTTGTTATTGATGTGGTTTTGGTTGGGGTTGCTTTCGCCCCTTCCACCTCCACTGCCCAGGACGGTGACATTCCGGTAGAAGTTGCGGTGGCACGCACACGTCAATGAAGAATAGTTGCCATGAAGAACAGTTGCCGGAAAACGGAAAATTCTGAGCAATGGCGCCACAATGTTGTCTTTTTCTCTGAAAAAAGACTTGTAAAGTGTTGTTTATCGAATAGGGCATTTTTGACATTTTATTATATTTTGAATAACGTTTTGACGATTTCAGTTTCGATCAGTGACAAAAGGTAAGTTTTTGTTGATTTTTTCAAAAGTTCAAGGGAGATATTTGTTAAAATAAAATAAAGAGGAGGTTTTTATGATTGTCAGAAACTTTAAGGGAGGTTTTTATATTTTACCGAAATATTAAATATGTGTTTATATATATATATATTAAAATAATCCGAATTCAATTTAAATCCACTAGATATTTGATGGATGTGATCCAATAATAATTTGAATATAAACCAATCAAATATGGATATACCTACATCCGATTCGAATTGATCCATTTGCAACCCTAGAATCTCTAATTTTGTGTGGTCTATCCCGGTTCAGACAGTCCAATTAGCAGGGTGAGTCATTTGCTATCCAATCCGATGATCCGACTGATCTTATAAAGAGTAATTTGAAATCAAATTCGCTAAGGATATCAAATATCTAAATCTGATCCTACCCAATTTAATTATTAAGAGGAAAAAAAACATAAGAATTTTGTCATATATTTTAAACAAAAGGAGGGAATACATGTCTTTTTACAAAAAAAAAACATAAATAATAGGTTCGATTATAATGCCAAAAAGACATGACATTGGAAAAACTTACAACTAATGAATCAACATCATAAAAGTGGTAACCAAATAAAGATATTCAAATCCAACAAAATAAAGATATTCAAGGCTTTTGATCAATCACCCCCCCCCTTCCATGAATTTTGATTAATGCCACCTAATTGGTTACCAATTTTATTATACCAGTTTTTTGTTTTCTTTTTTTTTAACACCAAAATGCAACTCACACCAACAATGATGGGAAACGAGATTTTCTTCTCATAGTGTTCACACTAACCTCATAGCACATCTTACCATGAATTGGAAACATCTCCCCATGAATAACAAGTTGCAAATACGGGAGATGTTCGGGATGTATGGTTCAGATGTGCTGTGAGGAGCAAATCCAAACAAAAGCTAACTAGACATCACAACTAAGAAAAAAAAACTAAATAAATTAAGCATTTGGAATGTCATCAAACAAGGCCTCTACAAATGGAGATCGCAAAGCCACAAAAGACTAATAACAATGAAGGTGTCATTTGGCAATCTTTGTAGAAAAATCTTCCAATAATCCAAATAACCAAAACATATTAAACTTTTGAGATATTATCTTTAAAAAACACGCTACACAAAAAGACTAAAAAACTTCGTTTGAAGCTTCCCAACATTTTCAGTGCCTTTCCGCGCTTTAATTACCAAATAAAAAAAGACGATTTTTTATCTTCTAAACATGTCAAAACCCAGACGATGCAGAAAGACTTCCCAAATGCCACCTTCAAACAACCTACAACTTAAAACACGTAACATCAAACACAAAAGAAACCTAAACACAACATAACAATCATCCTTGATAAAAGTAAGAAACTTCAGTTGAGTGGACTTGGGCCCACACCCACAGGTCACATCTGTTGCAGAGAATAGGACAAGTTCAGAAGATGACCCAGCTTCGGAATCAACGGATCTGTCACAAATTTTAACAAATTTCTCCTTTCACGTTATAAAAATTTCGTGAAAGGGCAAAGTTTGGATATTTAGACAATTAAATTAATGGATATCCTGATTACAGGCTATATCTAATCTATAATCTAAGTAGTTTACAATTGCTTTTCACTATATGATAATCAGGGTTCTTGGCTGTTTACACGGCTGTGGAGCTCCAGCATTTCTTGATGGTTGGGGTCCAAAGAGAGAGAAGCTCGGCAGTCACGCAGGGCACCGGACACGTCTCCGATGTGCTCGTGGAATGCCGCCCGCAGGTGTAGAAGGTGAAGGTCGGCCTTGAATGCGATTGCCCTCGATAGTTCTGCGATTGCCTCTTTTTCCTTGTGGTTGTCCATCAGCACTGCTCCGACCATACAACACAAAAAACAAATTCTATCAGCCTGGTCAGTGAAGCACACAAGTGGGCGGCTGAAAGCCATACAACTGTCCTTGATGACAGTTATTCCAACAGGCATTTTTAAGGCTTGTGAAGTTTACTCAGATATGCCAAGGTGTGAAACTCCACAAATATTTGCAGGATTCTTTTAATTCTTACATTTTTCTAAACTAGTTAAAGACTTAAAATATTAATGGTGTCTAAAACCTATTTCAAAAGTATATATCGTCGTTTGCTTTCCGTAATAAACTAATAGATATTTGGAAGTGTTTTTTGGAACCACCACCAAAAAAGAGGAAAAACTGAAATCTGGATTAGCACCAACTATTGCCATGAGTAAATGATTGAAGAGCATAGTTTTTCAACAAGCAAATGAAAGTATATACTATTACTTTTCCATATGCTGGTTTTTGTTAACTCCCCATCCATGTGCTTAGTTGAGTTTATATATTTAACTACATATAGCATGTATTGGTAACCATACACATTGCATGCACAATCTTACTACCCTCTTGACTTACAACAGAGTTGTTTAAATTGCAGTCTATAAAAGGTAAGTCTTAGGGCCATTACTTGGTGTAATGGTAAAATCTCAGGTTAGCAAGTGGTGGTTTGAGTCTGAGAGTGGCCACTGTGTGCCAAAAAAATTAAAAAGAAAATGTCAAAGGTCAGGACCATCCTATCTACCTCTCCCAATACCCCTTTTTAGCTGGGAGCAGCATAGGACAATGACCTTTTTAGAAGGGAAGTCTTGAAAACAAAGACAATTTAATACACCCTGTAAAACACATTTGTAGATCTGTAACACGAAAGGGAAGTGTGCACTGGAGGAAATCCTACCTGCAGCTCGATATCTATAAGGATAGACTCGGAGTGGATCTAATCGAGTGACCATCTCCAGATCTGCCTTTGTGAGTTCACGGTCGCAGTATTCAGACCTCTTCTCATATGCCGATGCATTGTTTTGAGCCTTCTCAATCAGTTTTGTCATTTCCTCATATGCAGCATTCCGGTCATTCCTAAGGTAATGGACCCTGGCAAGGCCTTGGTGTGCTCGGGTATGCCGAATCTTAAGTGCATTGATATAGCAATCAGCTGCCAAATCCAGCTTTCCACAGTCTACATACACACTGCCAAGATTGTTCAGGGCCTGCCAAGTGCCAAGTGGAACTTAAGAATTAGATACTATGTCACAAGAATGTTGGTTTTTGTTACATCTCACGCTGTAAACACGAGAAGAAAAATGACTGTAGACCATCTATTTCATATTTGTGCCATGAACACATCAATCTAGACTACTCATTTGGTAGGTGATATCTAGATGTCCTAAAGCCCAAGAGCCAGCAACTGACCAGCCAATTTTAAGGCCTTTTCTTTTGCACTTTATTTAACCATGTTGTTTTCAGCTCAGAAGGTTAATAATACCTTTCCCAAAGGTGATAAATGAGTGATCTAAGGGGCTACCTGTAATGAATGGTCTAGAGTCTAGACTGATATATGATGATCTTGGCATACTAGGTTTTCATTGAAACTGAGATACCTCAGGCCAGGTCTCATGAACACTGCCTTTAAGAGAGAAAGGAATGGCCAGGAGATGTTGGTAATAGCATGAAGCAAATTGGGGCTATAATTGCTTCTTGATGTAATGGTACCAGTATGGTCAAATTAAAGTTACCAAGAAAAACAATAATAAGGATTTTAAGTTTCCTTCTTTTGTTTTTTACTTTTTCTTTTTATTTTCTGAGGAAACCCAACCATGTATTGCTTTCAAAGCATAATTGTCAAGGCGACAAGGCACCCTTGGAGTCTCGCTTCGCCTAATTGCCAAGCAGTTTTCTATAGCATGTTATAACAAACTTTTATATTCTTAATTTTTTGAGGTTATAATTATAAAATAGACATTTTTAAACTAAAATATTCATTTTGTGTGTTTATATACTAATTTCTTTTTGTTATTTTCTTATTTGTTAGGGTTTAATCAACACAAACATTGCTAAATGCTGTATTGAACCNTTTTCTTCTTTTTCTTTACTAATTTTGTGTTTTTATATACAAATTTTTTCTTCTTCTTCTTCTTCTTCCACCTTTTCTTTTCTTCTTTTCCTATAACAGAAATAGGGGTTCAGCCCCTATATTTTTTGAATTTTCTTTTCTTTCTTCTTTTTCTTCTCATGAATATGTTGATTTTCTATACTTCAATATGAAGTTTATACTTTTCTTATGAAAATTATGGATATTAGTAAATATGATTATGGAACCTAGGGAACTACCCTGGATACATGTTTTTACTAAAAAAAAAAATCCATCGCCTAGGCGACTAGGCGCCCCCCTGTCGCCTAGCCTCGCCTTGGTGCCTTGAAAACTATGTTTCAAAGCAAGGACGAATGAAATTTCATCATCACGTGTGTTCACAATATTATAATCATTTCTCCGCTCTAAAACTCTAGGTAAGATCCATTTAAATATATTTGGGAACAGAAATACAAACAAATGAATTTCGTGGTGAAAACAATGAACATAACTTTTTCCTAAATTTCTAGTTATGATGATGTGCAAAAAAATTATATAGTTCAACATGAGAAAATTGATTGCTTTAAAACTATACTAATTAATATTGTTGTTGCTTATCAATAGAAAACCTTATCTATATCTGATTATATCTAATTATTGTATTCATCATTTATAATTTTTTCAGAAGATCAAAAGAGTTGATTCTTAATTAGGTGTTGTAAGCAATGCCACAATTTAAAGTAAAAATGCACCAATTTTTGTATTACATAATACACATTACAGGGTGATGAAGGGGTTAGGGCAGACCAGGGTGCACATGAAGTCCACTGACCTTACCACAGAGAGCCTGCAGTTACATGGGTTTGATCCCATGCTTCATTTTGGGAGGGATGCAGAGTGAAAGATCACAACATGATAACAATGGCCACCAAAGGCATGTTATACTTTCAATAGTTTACAGTTTTTCTTTATGGATGACAACTTCCTTTCAGGTTGTTTTGCACTTAGAACAAGAAGGCTCATAAGATGCAAAAAATTCTAAAATCAGGGATTTTAGTTTCAGAACAAGTGGAAAACGTAAGAATTTGGTGGATATTGTTACTATTGAGTAATAACTAATAATCATCAGTGTAGAGCATAGTTGTCAAGGCGACAAGGCGCCCTTGGGGGCTCACCTTCACCTAATCACCAAGCAGTTTTCTACAGTGTGTTATTAAAAACTTTATATTCTTAATTTTTTTAGGTCATAATTATAAAATAGACATTATTAAACTGAAATAATCATTTTGTGTGCTTATATACTGATTTCTTTTTATTATTTTCTTATTTGTGAGGGTTTAATCAACACAAACGTTGCTAAATGCTAAATGCTAAATGCTAATTATCAAAAAGAAAAAAAAAATATTGCTAAATGCTGTATTGAACCATCAAAGACTTTGAAACCTGAACCTATAAGTATTGAACCAGCTTTTCTTTTCTTCTTTTCCTATAACAGAAATAGGGGTTCAGCCCCTATATTTTTTGAATTTTCTTTTCTTTCTTATGTTAGAATATGTTGATTTTCTTTACTTCAACATGAAGTTTATACTTTCTTATGAAAATTATGGATAATTATTAATGAAATATGGTTATAGAACCTAGGGAACTCCCTAGGATAGATGTTTTTTACTTAAAAAGAATTCATCACCCAGGCGACTAGGTGACAAGGCACCCCCTATCGCCTAGCCTCGCTTTGGTGCCTTGAAAACTATGGTGTAGAGAAAACATTGAAGTTAGATGGGCACATACTAGAGGAAAAAAAAAAGGATCCCTTGTTTGGGAAAGCTTAGAATTATCCTAGCTTGTAAATGGCTGCTTTGCTTCAGCTGCTCTGAAGAAGCTACCAGAAGAGGCTTCACAGAAATCCGCACGATTGGCTGCACAATGACCAATTTTGACTCTCTGGATTTTTAACAAACTTTGCTTATAAGCATCTTTGGTGGGCCCCACCTTGCAAAGCCAAAAGTCACAGTGAGAAATCCCTTCCAAACCACTACTTTTACAACTAAGATTGGTTGGCTAACATGGATCACTTTCTCTGGATTTTCATGGTAGTTCTGGGCACTCATCATCATCCTCCAAGCCTTATCCCAACTATATGGGTCAGCTACATGAATCCTGTTTTGCCAGTCCATTCTGTTTAATGCCATATCCGTTGTTAAATTATTGGTGCTTAAATCATTTATTACGACTTCTACCCATGTCTTTTTAGGTATACCCCTTGCCCTTCTAGCCCCTTCAACTTGCAACTAATCACTTCTTCTTACAGGTGTTGTTGATGGTCTTCTATGCACATGATCAAACCATCATAATCCACTAAATTATTCAAATAAATCTTGACACACTTATGATACCAAGAAATCCTGAAAGGATGAAAAGCATGCCATACTGATAGGGAAACCCAGTGCACAAGGCTCCCACCAATGCAGGGTCTGGGGAGGGACAGATGTACACAGCCTTTTACCCTTACAGCTATACAGATAGGCTATTTCCAAGATTTGAACCCTGGTCACCCAGGCCGCAATGGAGTAACTCAACTGTTGTGCCAAAGCCCACCCTCAAAAACATGCCATACTGATACTAAAGGTAAATAATGGATTGTGAAACTTGATTATTTAAAGCATGCAACTCCTAAAGTTAATAAGTAGGAAGTAGGATGACAGATAAAACATACCTGTCCTTTGCGAAGCCTATCTGAGGGACACTTCAATGCATCTTCTAGAAATGAGACAACAGTTGAAGAGCATGATGGGTCTTGGCTAGAGTCTGCCAACACATAGGCTTTCAGGAAATAGGCCTCAAAAGATCTTTTAAGATGAATTGACTCTTCTGCTTTGCGAAGCCCTTCTTCACAATGACCCATATCATATAAGATCCATCCCTCGTAAACCAAACGCTCATGTTCACTTGATGCATGCTGGTGTGCCAATTGTAGGCTTCTCATAGCAGCATCTGGACAGTTCAATCTGATCAAGCACAACCATGGATTGCTATCTGCCTTGGCACAAGCATAATCCTACCAAACAACAATACTAAAGGAAACGAAAAAAAAAAGGAAAGAAAGGGAATGAGTTACTTGAATATACCTAAGGAGAAGCAAAGACTGTCTGAAGTATAGCACACCTTTTGCTGCATCAGATTCAAGCATCTGATAGATAACCGAGAGAGACCCAATATCATCAACTGAAGACCATCGATCATACAACTGCAGCCAACAATCTGCCGTAGTCCAGTTTTCTACATGTGCACGTACAAGGGTACGGAGTTGCCAAGCTGCCACTTGTCCCTCAAACATCCTATATTCTGGAGAGAGTGTAAGAATTGCCTGAACATCACGTAAGGCTGATTGATAATTCTCAAGTGCCAGATAGAAACAGAACCGGAGTTCCAAGCATTCCAATGCTATCTTGAACCCAAGAATGCGATTGATTTCCCCTAGAGCAGCTTGAACATTTTGCCTCCTCATCAAGGACGCAGCCCGATACATGTATGGATAGTTTAGTGTTGGGTCCAACTCTGTTGCCTTCTCAAGGTCTTCCCACTTTTTGTCACCTTCACAGTATAGCGACCTCTCTTGATACATCCACCCAAGAGGGGTGTGTGAAGATATTACAGAGCTGAGCTTCTCATACGACCATAGTTTATAGTCCTTGAGGAAACCCAGCCTAGCTAAGCCTGCAACAGAATAGGCATGGCCCTCATTGAATGCTGCATAAAAAAGTTGTTCAGCTTTATCGTACTCTTTCCTTAGAAGCCTCACGCATCCCAATTGATGAAAGGCTAACTGTCTCTGCCTATTAGTTACTGCAGACTCAACCAACTGTTCAAGGAAACAGGCTGTTATATCTGACCGGGGATCACGGTTCATGGCTACTTCACTTAATAAACAATAGAGAGAGAATGAAGCAGGTCCAACCATGATTGATCTATGCTTCTTATTAGTATTGCTGAATATCTTAATCACCCTATCATCGTTCAAACAGTCAGGAAGTTGATGCAGAAATACTTGCAAACATGAAGCTGCAAGGACTGGGGAGCTCTCCTCAAGTGCATATTCCATGAGGTCAACCGCATCTTGTCTTGAGGAAACCAAAGATGCAAGTTTCCGATCACAGGCATCTTTAAGTCTTTCGCAACAAAATTTGTTGGCAAATATTAATATTTCCAACACGATACTAGGAGAAACTCCTTCTAGACTGCCTGTCCTGCTAAACTCATTAATTGCCCTCATGCTAGAAAGGGAGATACCATTCTCGGATAAATCAATGTCTTCTTTAAGTGATTCCATGAAACACCCATTAAGCATAGAATAGAATGGAGCTGATAGAGCTGCAATCTTCTGCCTATCACAAGCTATCTTCTCTTCTCCAATATGGAAGAAGACAGTACTGGAAACATGAGTTCGAACAGTTTCAATTGTTTCAAGGGCATTTACAAATAAATCAGCGGGAAGCTGAGAGGAAATGTCTAATGGGACAAACTCCTGTACGCATTTCCCGCATGAAGCAAGCAAATCAGCAATAAGCTCTTCACCCTGCTTCTCATACTTCAACCATGCCCCGAAGATGAGTTTCTCATGAACCGTGCTGGCATTTTGCCATGCTGAACGGAGACTCCGGCGTAGCAATTTGACTTCACCAAGGCCCCTAAAGACCTGAAACTGTAGCAAGTAAAGGTTCGACCTCTCACTGGGAGGACAAAACTCAAGTTCTTCATGAATTTGAGCTAGGACTTCAACATAATCGATAGGCTTAAAGAATGGGATAATGGGTGGCTCGGAAACTTTGATAAAAGATTCTCTACAGAAAAACGGCACGATCTCAGATTCATGAAAATAAAACAAACCCAATTTAGTTCAGTAAAACCACAAAGAAGGAGAACTTACATAGAAGACGAGGAATGTGTGGAGAATTTGGATACTTTCCCTCTTTCAACTTGAAGCCATGACTGTGGATTGAGAGCATGTATTTGTGCTTCTTTGCAGGATTCAGAGAGAAATGGATTCTTCATGGGGCATAAGAACGAAAACAAGTCCCAGATCTCCACAAGTTTAAGTAGATTTTCTCTCCAACACTCAAAACAGGAGGGTTGGAAGAAAAGGAAAAACAACAAAAGAAAAAGGAAAAAGAAAAGATTGGAAGAAAAAGACCTCCTTTCACACCACTCACAAATTGAATAGGAAGTTTTGCAAACCCACCAAACAACACAATAAATAAAATGAAATAAAATAAGACACCCTATCAGGCCCTCAAACGTATCAATCAGACAAAAAATGATATATTGGGTTTCCTTCACTTAGGAAAAGAATCTTTCTGTAACCAGTCTGCTAGTAATAGTATTTTCCTGTTCTACGGATATGAACAATCATATAGGACTCTACAATTTATTTTTGGTTCCCCAAGCATGAAGAAATCGCCAAGTCTCTAAGAGTCTAAATGGCAATTTATCAGTAGAAAGTCAGTGACCTGCCAAGGATTACGCAAAGATCTCTAACACCAGCACTACCGAATCCACATTAGAACCAACCAAATCTCACAACAACAAAGATAGCAACCGAAACAACAACAGAGACTCACCAACCTTTTTGGATTCATTAAGAGGGATAAAAGTGGTAATCCAAGGAAAAACTCAAACAAAAGGGGGAAAAAGAAAGAAAAACTCAACCAAATCTCACAACAACAAAGTCCCGAAAATCACGAATGTAACGGCACTTTATTAGATGAAAGCCAAGGAATCCAAAGGAATACTCTCGACTCTCGAACTTCGCCTTCTTTGTTTGGTAATACTGAGCAGTTTTTCTTCTTTTTTTCTCTTCCTTCCGTTAAACGGAGAAAAGGCGTTTGATTAAAAATCGACGGTTGTTTTTTTAGTAAAACACAAATTAATAAAAATGGTCTTTTAGCAGAAGAAAGAGAAAGGAGAGAGAGAATCTTCCGGTTTCCTAATATGGCTCAAATGACCAAATCACCCTTTTATTGCTATTGCCAATCTATTTTATATCTTTTTCAAAATCAGAGATGACTTTGGGAGATGAAAATCACCGATTCACAAAGTATAGGGACTATTGCTGTCAAATATGGAGCCGAGGGCAATAATATAATTTTAGGCATTTGAGGCCGAGGGTCCAGCCTATAGAGGCCTTTACTTTTGAGGATCAAGTTAGCCGCTAGGGCTGTTAATAATAAGATCCAAACTGATCAATTCGGTCTCATTCAATCTGAGTTGGCTGGTTTTTCTTCAATATCAGTCGGTTTCAGGTTATAAAAAACATAAGTTGATGGTTCGATTCGATTTCGGTTTTCATGTGTGAAAATCGAAACCGAACTGACTTAGATATATATTATATATAATATATATTTCAGCTTTATTTCAGAAATATACATATTATATATAAAATATCAGTTTTAATCCATCAAATCATTTTTAATTTTTAAGCATCCAACCTTTGCTTTCTTAAATATGAATTCTTTACCGTTCACACCGAGAGAATCATTCACAAAACCGACCTAACCCGATTCAAATCGACCAGGTTGGTTTCAATTTCATTTCTAGGTAAATTGACTAAGTTGGGTCGGCTAGAAAAACACCAGTAAACCAACCCAACCTGACCCGTGAACACTGTGAGGGGTTGGACAAATCAAGAAAGGAGACTTAGAACTTTAATTCCAATGTGTGTTTATCTCAATATAGGAGCCCATTTTTATAGTCGAAATCACTTGAGAGGAGGAATAATTGGGAATAGATGGCAGCGGTTGACATTGATTGGTGATGGATGGCTAAGATACATCCGCTAACGCCTCATGTCAAGGTTTGCGAATCGACTGAATACCACTATATTAGGGACCCATAAGCCCACTGCCTGCCTCAAGACACAAGCTTATAGTTTATTGTGGACGGTAAGATTTGGGGGGTTAAGCCTTAGGAACAACCTTTAACAGATGATCCTCTAAATACCCTATTGTATCTCATGGTTTTTAAAAATGAACCAGTGATCGAACCGGTCTGGGGTCCGGTTACCGGTTCGAATGGTCTGACCGTTCAACTCAAACGACCAGCCCATTTTGATAAAAAAATAAAAATATTGGAAAATGGTCAAAACCATTCAAACGATTAACTGGTTAATTAGTGGTTTGCTTATCAAAATCAACGGATTTGGGGGAAAAAGCAATTTTGGGGGAAAACGGAACCGGTCAAGTGACCGGGTCCTGGTTTTTCTGGTCCGATCGTCCAATCCGATCTAATTTTGAAAACCATGTTATATCCCTGTGTTGAAATATTGTAAACCAGTGGTTGATGAATTGATTATTTTGATTTTTAAGGTTATGTTTGGTTTAAAGGAAAAGGTAGGAAAAAAAAGGGGAATATAGAAAAAGCTTTAGAAACCTTGTATAAGTTTTCGTACCTTTCCCTACTTTTTCCTTTAAACAAAACACAACCTCAGCTTAAATGATGTGGAAATCTCGTAGGTAGTTGCACAATGTAGTGTACATTAGATGTATGGGAATAGGATTTTTTTTGGGGTAAGAGTGGGAATAGGACTGGATGAGGGTAATAATAAATAAAATAGTTGATGTTGATGAATGCACTCTCAACTCTTATCTCAGTTTGGGCAAAATGGGAATGCTAAAGAGTTATCCTGTCAAAAGGACCGTCGTGGATGATGCATCATGCATCGAGTTGGTAATTTGGTTATTACGTGATGGATCGTTTCATGACTGATATTCAAACATTAACAATAAAATGAAACAGTCCCAAATTCTACATTCTATAAACAGTCAACAACTTTTTTGAATAGAAGAGGTTAGGATTTGGGGTTGTTCAGTTTTTTGTCAACGTTTGGATGGTTGATAAAGAGAATTAGATGGCATTTGAAGGGCATTTTGACTTTTCAAATGTCACTTAACGGCTAATTAATGGATTGGTTAACGACAAGTGCGCTGGATTGTCACATTTTGAAAGTTCGGGTACTGGATTGTCACATATTGAAAGTTCGAATACTGGATTAACGCATTTTAAAGTTCGGAGACCAAATTGTCACTCAAGCCAAATTACAAAGTACTGATCGAGAATTTTAATTATTACATCAATAAAATAAAATTGCATTGTTTTTGCTAACATAACGGTTTTGTTTTGTTTTTGTCAAAAACAAAACCAACCATGCTATCCAAAACCCCTTTAACCAGCCATTCAAACAGTACAACCTTTTGGAATGGGTGGTTGAACTATGATATATCAGAAAAAAGGGTTCCAACTATAATATGGAAAGAATATAATATCTGAAAAATAATTGACCAATAAACTGGAATCATAAACGTGGTAGCGAATCAAGTGTTATTTATCAAAATTCATGAATGGATTTTGATTAGTCAAAAGACTTTCCATGTCATATTTGTTCCGTATCATACATTTTCCCCAGAAAAAAAAGGAAAAAAATACAAAAAAAGTCAGCATCAAAATACAAGCCCCGGCCCAGGGGGGGAGGGTTGATTGGTTGAAGTCTCTCGGTATCCTATCTTTTGGCATTATAGATTTCAGTTTAGATCTAGTAGACACAGAATTGTAAGTGCAGTGAATGAACATACAATAAATATTTTATACCTGTATCAAAAGTTGATTTAAATCTTTTTCAAATGTAGGGCGAGGTATTTAAATCTTTTTCAAATCTTTTTCAGTGTGTTCATAATGTGTGCCTAACTGCCTATTTGATCCGGTAATAGACCAATAGTTCTGCTTCATATACCCAATATTTTTGGTTGCACCCTAGCATTTGCCCAATAATAATGACAAAAATGTAGCAGATAAATTCAGAATTGGGTTTACTTCGTTCAATTTCATTAATATATAAACCAATAATATATATATATATATATGTATATTGGTTTTCATGATTTATCTATAATAATGTCACATTCATTTTTATAAAATTTTATTAAATCACCCAGTTCCATGAATTCTGTTATGTCATTTTTTACCATTCCATGTTTTTTATGGTATATCCCCCCCCCCAAAAAAAAAAAACAAAAATGGATCACTTTAAAATATTTAAAAAACAAAACAAGAAATTTAATAAATTCATCATCAAATTAATAAGCTAAAGGCCTGTATGATTCCTATGTATTTTCCAAAAATTAAAAGAAAATCAGTACTCTATTATTATTATTTTTTGAAAACTGTTGAATATTCTCTTATTTCGTAATTTATTTTTATTGATGTAATGTTGTTAGAATGGGAACCAAGATGGTTTTACAGATTAACTGGCCGGTTAGATGCGATCGTTTATATATTTGCCATCACCGGGTCATCGAGTCACCACTGTCTGACAGCCAAGCAGTTTTATATTTTTGCCACCTGTTTCATACACAGATGGTGACACGTATTAGCCACGCCATTCCTTTATTCTTAGGTAGCTAAATCTGATCATAAACAGCTGTTCAAAGCTCCAGCCTTTTTTTTTTCTTTTTGGTTTTACTATTATTCCTTAATTGCGATAAGATGTACGAAAATTAATTTAACCATGTTTTAATCTTTTTTTTTTGTTTTTATTTAATCAAAATATGGACAAAATGATCATTATGTACCAGCTTATGCTTATGTATTTTTTTTGGTAAATTGCTGATTCCTCCCTTCAAATTTAGATATCCTTTGGTGAAATCTTGTAAAAAAGGGCATAAAAATGTCTAAAATATCTATGCAATTACTATTGAGACTGGTTTCTGATGAGAGCGGATTTAGCCATTCAATGACATCAATGATAGATAGCATCTCAAAATAGTTGGACGACACTCAGACACCACTTATGCGTTGACTTGCCCTAGCCAAAGTGATGGAATTTCATATCACGATCCGACTTTGCTACTAACTTGGCAACCTGCCTTTGCTGCCAACTTGGCGACCTCGACCACAACTTAGGCTGGCTAGCAGCACCTCATCTAGGGCCGACTTATAGCACCTTGTCACTAGTCAAAGTGACTTCGACACGATGAGCGGCCTCCTTTGAGGGCTTGCCGGCCTGATTGAGCTCCAGGCGGCAACCTGCGAGACATGCTTGCCAACCAATTCTACATGCACAACCCATCACTATCGGGTCTCTCGGAAGTTGGACCCCATACCAAATGTTTCGGAGGAGACCGAGCAAGGCGTGAAGATTGGTCTATGTGTACGGCTATCTCCGCGGACTTCGGATCGGTTGGGCACAACCTCCCTGAGATTTCGGATACAATGCGTGAAGCCCATGCCAAGCAATGCCTATATAAAATGCCTCACCTCCAACCTGACAAGAAAAGAGAGAAAAGACACACGATTATTTGCTTACTAGCTCTCATACATTTAAGCATTTAGTTTGTATACACAGTCAGAATACTAATTTAAGCATCAGAGAGCAACTACGCTAGGTTAGTCAACCCGGGTTCTTTGATATTTTCTATCTCGTAGTTCGACCAACCGGTTAGGCAATCAATGTCCGAGCTGCCATCCAGATAGGAGCAACTAAATTGCGTAGCATCAATTTCTATGGAAAAACAATACAAACTTTATGAACAACAAAACAAAGAGAATTTAAAGTTGTAGCTTTACCTTTGAGTGATTAATATGAAGGGCAAATTTAAAAAATAAATCAATTTCAAAAAAGAGATTGGAAGTGCTTCGGGTAGTGATTCATGTAAAGAAAAAATTTGAAAAATAAACATTTTTCTTAAAAGTAATTGTATGGGCATTTTGGACGTTTTAATGCCTTCTTTAGAAAATTCTACCGAAAGGGGTCTACTTGCAACTATAATAGAAAATTAAGAGGAGATAATTGCAATTACCAAACTTTAGGGGTTGTATCCATAACC